CGAAGATAGTACCAGAGCTGAGCCAAAAAGTTGAGCACATTGCTTCTGGACCTACTAGTCTATGGTACTATGGTTACCTCTATGGTACTATGGTTACCGCGCCAGTGTTCGTGTCGCACCTTTTCACTTTGCTATTGCCGGACTGGCAACATTGCTCAGGCTACGCCATCTAGCCGGTGACCGAGCTGTGTCCATGTTTCAGCTGGTAGTCTTTTGTTATCATATGACATATGCAGGCGTGACGTAGGAACTTGTGAGGATCAAAGCCAGGCATGGAAAATCATTCATTTCGTGCATTCATTTACATTCATTTGCCTCTAACTTTTTTTCTTCAACAGCATTTCGCAAAATGATGTATAGACCTTTTGTAGGGTTTGTTATAAGCTACAAGTTTTGCTCATAACTCAAATCTGTATCTCTTATGCATCACGAACTAGAGCGGGCAGAACTTGTTACTGTTTTCAGTGAATGTAAAATACATTCACCGAAAAACAGTAGAATTTGTTCAACTGGTACCCCTACAATGCTCAATGGCGCCATGCAATGTAATGCAATTGTAAGTTGAATTCGACTCAGGTGCGATGCTATTTTTCATCACAGTGAATAGACATCCAAGTCAAATTCCTAAAGTGTGTAAGCAATTTAACTGCTATTTTGAATTTATATTTTAAACAATATCGTGGTGGCGCTAGTGGCGCTGCCCATCGACGTCAACGACCGGCAGACGTCTTCTTAACATAAATGTCAAAATTTGTATGACCACCGATCAAAACATGAGCCGCAAGTGCGAGTTTTTGGACGTAGAACTACGTCTTTGTCGACTATACTGGGCTGCAAATCAAAAAATATGTGTGGTGAAGGAGTGTTAGGTTTTGAACGCTTGTAACTTTGTCATTTATAGATGAAAATAAAATCCAAATACGCCAATCGATAGGATATTACATTACAAACCTGTTGAAATAAATATTTTTCCAATTTTTCTGTAATAAACTATTGAAAATGTACAAATGATAATTTTATCACTGATTTCATGAAATAAGCCTTTCTCCCAAACCCAGTCATCACAAACGAATACCACTTGGTTGTACATCATTCTGCATTGTCGCTTCGGACGGCGTGGCACTTGGTCCTGCAGTAAGCAGGGCCAAATCAGCGGCTAAAGGTGGATCACGGCGTGACCACAATGAGGAAATGTAATGATGTAAACCCCCTCCTCCTTTCACAACAACCTCTCTCCCTCCCCCTTCACAACAATCTCCCCACCCCTCAACAAACTCTCCTAACCCCCCCCCCCCACTCATCAACAACCTTTCCTACCCCCCCCCCCACTCATCAACAACCTTTCCTACCCCCCCCCCCCCACTCATCAACAACCTCTCCTAACCCCCCCCCCATCAAATCCCACACATGAGTTGTTGCAACGTGATCAACAAATCAATAACTATGTGTCGGCCACACACTTAATATATGTACATATAACAACCATGCGTGACCACACATACTATTCATTTGCGTATAAATTTCATGTGTACCAAGATGAAACTGTCAGAAGAAAAACTTTCTATTTTAGTGTCCCTTTCATCCAATGAATACCCCCCGTATTCAAGGTAATTTTGTGGTTTTGCTGCCCCTTTGGTAGAGATGAAATTTTGCGCTCATTTTTATCAAAACTAACACACCAAAATCAGAGATGTCCCATTTTTTAATTACTCGATTAACAACTAATCGATTATTTTTTGTTCGCTGTGCTGCCATTTTTCAACCAATAAGAGTGCAGCACATGTTTGAAATGATCGGTGGTGATGATCCTATGGAGATGTTAATGCTTATATCGGCACGATATAACCGATAACATATATTTTACTTTTCGGTTCGTTAATCGATTTATCAATTATTCGAATGAAAATCGGCCATCCATTGATGAATGTGAAACGTCATTTCAAATATAAGGACCGTACATAAATAATGATACAATTTGAAATTGACCGGGGCTAATCACAAATTACGTCCCCACGGTAACTGAAATAAACACGAGTTTCCACCGGTTCTGTACTTCTGAGTGGATTCTGTTTATGTGTGGTCAAATGAAAATCATGTGGAATTTCACATGGATATTTGTCAAGAAAAATGTGTAAATTGTTTTGAGTCAACCATAACCGAAACATTGAAATACTTGAAAATTTTAAGATAAAGTATAATAGTCAAAAATGCATGAAAAACAACAATTTTGTGTGGTTCTACGTCATACTGCGGTCGTGTCTAGGACACAACCCTTTAATTTTTTTTGGTGCGCAAATAAACAAGGTGTTACCAAGCGAAAATCAAACGCTGGTGTGACTTCAACGATGCCCCGAACGCTTTTCAATTCGGTTGCGCCTTCAAGTAAGCAATGATAGTAGGGTTTTTGATCTAATTTCCGTCCTACTAAGCACACCCCGCGCTTCACCTCACTCTTCTGAACGAGTTTAAACAAAAAATGGAATATTTCTGTCAAAAATGACTTCTAAATTTATTCACCTTTCCATACGTACCGTTGGATTTGATAAAGAGTCACCAATTGTTGAGATATTGATTAAAATCTAACACTGCTTCTTGACTCTAAATTCGTTCTACGAGTTTCAATTCCGTCCTAACGCATTGAAACGCCATTAGATTTTGTTCGTCCTACGGATAAACGTACACAGCTAAAAAAAAGTAGTGTAAATTTCCGTTACTATGATGCACATAAATGGAGCGTCATAAATCCTACAAATTTACATTATAAATCGTGTAAATTTATGAGACATGTCATGCAATATTCCATATATTGTATGCAACTTTCCACCTTTGTTTGCAACATTTCTTGCAAACTGCTAGTTTACGTGAAAAGGAAGTTTACATGCATGAATGTTTGCATGCATGGATGTTTACATCACCAGTAAAATTCAGATTTTTTTAGTAGGGGATTCGCAGGGAGTGCTTCTTTTGTTTTGAGAACAATAAGCGTAAATATTCATACAATGCGCTCTAACCGGGTTTATGTTGTAGCTAATGAACTAACGCATCGGAACAAACATATTATTGATTTGTGCACGGTGAAATAATTGATATTATTGATCTTTTCTGATCGATAGAACGGAAATGGGCGATTACGACGAAGTAGCGCTCTACCCTAGCTGCTGATGAAAATTATTTTGACGGGAAGAACTGCGCAAACAATCATGCAGTTCCTATTCTAAATGAAAATGATCTAGATCGTTTCCCGTTGCCGAATATTCAATATTCGATCTATAGAAAAGCGGAACCAATTCAATATCCCTGATAAACAAATAAACATAAACGAACAATAACGCAAATATATATATATATATATATATATGTATATATATATACAGCAATTTATAAAATAACGAATATTTTGAATGGTTCGAGTGACACTTGCCTTTGATAAAAAACACGTCTACTGAGGATTCATATTTATGAAAAAATCATATATCAATGAAACAGTCATCGGTCGTCATTGAAAAGCAATGCAACTATGTTCTGTCAATCTAATTGACTTTTATTGGTTCTGTTGTCTTGTGAATTTTAGCTAAAACGGCCTCTTTTCTGATTTTTATCTCTCAATCTATGAAATAAACACGAAAACTATGTTGGAATGAAACTTCTAGAACAATATGAGGAACATTATGCCGTACACTACACATTTTTATATCATACGGGTGGAAAATTCGTAGAACAAATACTTTAAAATTCTTCACATTTTAAGATATCTTCGAGCATGAAACTAAGTCAAACTTCAATAAAATCACTTCTAATAGTCAACCTTTGGTCACAAAGTTGATACATGACACATTAAACTTTGCTATGAAAGTTGTTACAGCAGTTTTCGTTATTTCAGTCTCGAGATACAAATATTGTAAGCCGTAAATTACCTTAAAAACATAAAATTAACATGAAGCACCTCTAAATCAAAACCGATTTTGCTGAAAATTTGCACAAAAGTTCAAATTAACATGACGAACAGTAACCACGGTTGACCCGTTATATATATATATTGTTAAAGATGGCACACTAGCCCCACCAGACGCTAGTAAAAAAATGCATATAAGGGAACGGGCCTGGAATTGAACTCCCGAGACTATCTGATCAGTAAGCAGAAACGGTAACCACTAAGCCACCAGAGATCTTTGAAGGGTTTAACTACATAGGATCCATAACATTTCATTAGACTTCAATCTAGAGGCATTATGGGTGAATTGCAGATGTTTTGTATTTAAATCTAATTCGATGGGTCCATTTCAAAGCCCTTACAAGAGAAATCCACAGGCATTATGAATTAAATCTAAAGGTCTACAAAAATCTCATTGGTTAACATAATAATAGTTTTTATAGTTTTAAAACAGACGTCTTTTTAGAGGTCTTTCAATTTCATCTGCCTGATGGGTAAAGTCCAAAGACCTGCGAATACACTTCTGATGCTTTATGAGTCTGCTTCGGAGATCTTCGCCCTTTGGGTTCAGTTTAGATGCTTTATGGATCATCTTCATAGATTTAAATGGGTCAATTTAACTGTATGACTACTCTGGGTGATTCAATTTGGGTGGAACATTACCGAGTTGTTAAATAAAAATTATGTTCACCTTTCTTCTTAGGATTAAACGAAACTTCGCAATGATCGCCTGTAGATCTGTATGTTGATATCCTTTTCATTCATCAAATCTTTCAATAGTAGCTAGTTTTCGTAATTTTGAATCTTTGTTTTCATACTATTTGTTTCATCAATTCTTGTACTTATTGCCGTTTCATGCTAACAATCAGATTCTTCAACTAAATATAATAACCGTCTCTTTTTCCTACCTTTTCATCTCCCCGACTAATATTCGATGTCCAACTAATCACGATCATATTGCAACCGATACCAACAACCATCATTGATTGCCCTCACCATAATATAACTCAAATACCAAAACAAACCTTGCTCGGACCCGTCCCATCACCGGATGTGCTACTGAATCTAGCGTACGCCGCAAGTCACCCGTCAAGCAGCCCCAGTCGAAGCGCGCCTCCATGTCAATGACACTCTCGACGTCCAGGTTAATTACTTAGTCCTACCTACCTACCTACACTGCATTGCCTCTTTATTAACCACTAGATGTTAATCGCTGATGGCTTCTGTTGCGGTTGCCGAACAAACACCACCACCTTCACACCACGTGTTCCTGTTGTATTATACATTTCCTTGAGTTCCTTGTGGTTGTTCGTCTTCGTCGTCTCGGTTGCGCTTGCCAGCTGTACTATATTTTGTTTTTTATTAGAGCTTTTACTTCAAATCACGCGTGTTCATTAAACATACACTCCACCCGGAGTTGTGTTATTCACTGTTCCAAATGTTAGCGGGATTGCTTGTCGTTGTGCCTTCACTAACCTTCAATTTATCTCATTCCTCGGATCTAGCTCTCGTGCATCGCTGAATCGCAGCACCAGCTCGCTGGGATCCAAAACTCAACTGACCTCGCCTGGGAACGATCGCCCCTCCGGTCAGTCCTCAATCCCGACACCGGTCTCCTCAATCCCTACCATGGTCAAGGCCGGCGATCGTTACGAATCGCTGCACAAATCGCACATTAGCCCACCGGAATCGTTGCAAACCTCGAAGCGGGCCAGCTTCGTGGAAACCGGATTCGTTGAAACCCTCAAACCTCAATTCACCCCTGGACAATCGTTGACATCGCCGTCGCCGGCTCCTTCCACGGAGGATCGTATTCACCTACTGCAGATGCAGCAGGAGATCGAGGACTTAAAAACGCAAAACAAGGACTTGGTCGAAAAATTGGAAACGCTGAAGGTTCGTCGCGCCGAGGATAAAGAACGCCTGCGTGAGTTCGACAAGATGAAGACTCAGTACGATCAGTTGGTGGAGTTCAAGAGCAAAATCATGGATGCTCACTCTCAGCTGCAACGTGACTATCAGAGAGCCAAGCAGGATGCTAAAGATGCGATCGAAGCTCGCGATTTGCACATCGAAGAGATGGCCGAGTTGTTGGAGAATGTCGAGATGATCACGCTGGACAAGGAGATGGCCGAGGAGAAGGCAGATACTTTGGCTCTGGAACTGGAAACGGCTAAGGAAAGGACCGAGGAGTTGACGTTGGACTTGGAGATTTTGAAAACGGAAATGCAGGAAAAAATGGCCATCGGTGGCGGCGTAATAACTGGCGATGGTGTTGGAACCGGTGCTTCAACCTACGAGTTCAAGCAACTCGAGCAACAAAATGTTAGACTTCGGGAAACTCTGGTTCGTTTACGGGACTTGTCTGCACATGAAAAGCATGAAATTCAAAAGCTGGAGAAGGAACTGGACACCAAGAAGTCGGAGGTGGCCGAGCTGCAGAGAACCAAGGAGAAATTTTCGGGAAAGATCGACGAGTTGGAGGCTCAGCTGAGCGATCTTCAGGAACAGGTCGATGCCGCGTTGGGTGCAGAAGAGATGGTTGAGCAGTTGGCTGAAAAAAAGATGGAACTCGAAGATAAGGTCAAGGCGCTGGAAGAAGAAGTATCCGAATTGGAAGCGCTGGAAGAAGTTCACGAACAGCTGGTCGAGAGTAACCACGAGCTGGAGATGGATATGCGAGAGGAGCTCGATATGGCCCACGCAGCTAAGCGCGAAGCAGTCCGTGAGAAAGACGCAGCTCTCGAAACTATCGTCGATCGCGATCAAACCATCCTCAAGTTCCGTGAATTGGTTCAAAGATTAAACGATCAGTGCCAGGAATTACGGGAGAAAATTAATCAGGAATCCAACAAGGTTGTCAAGGACACCATTACGGAAACGATCGATTTCAAACAGATGTTCGCAGAATCCAAGGCCTTCACCAGGGCTATCGATCTACAGCTGCGGCAGATCGAGCTAACTCAAGCGAACGAACATGTCAAATACTTGACGGCGTTCATGCCGGAAATATTCATGGCTCGTGGGGGCGACCATGATGCAATCCTGGTCATCCTATTGGTATCACGAATCGTTTTCAAATCCGGTATCATTGTTAGCCAAGCCAGAGAACGTTTCTCCGCTGTGCCGCAAATAGATCGCAATGCCATTGTCAGTGGCCACGAAGTCTATCAATTCCGGTTCCGATCGCGGCTGCTTCATCACGTGCACAACTTGCAGAGCATCATGCATCAGTTCCTGTACGGGCTGACTGCTTGCTCGGCAGATACGTTACTGAAAATCGGATCGTCCCTGCCGGAGATGCAAGCCCAGGAGAAGATGGTCGACGAGATTGTGGATCTATTGAAAGCCAATCAGCTCGACGAGAATTCATCCACTGATAATCTGGAAAAGTGTGTCACATTCTTCAACGCCATGTACTTGGTTCTACTGTCTGGGGAAGATCTGCTAAACGAAACCCAAATTGTGCGCGACTGTACGGCATCCATTTCGGCAGCCTGTGATTCGATATCGACTGATGCGGTTTTGATGAAGACACTGATTCAAGGCGGTGATGAGACCAGTGATTCCGGTCTACTGATGCAGTACATTACCCAAAATGTGGATTCCGTGAAGCAACAGCTCAAACTGGTCAAACGCCGGCTTCCCCAGGACGTTTCTGTTACCAAGTGCAATCTCTCGATGAACACACTGCAGAATCTGAAGAAAACCGCCGAGGCACTCAATAAGCTAATGAGTGCCATGTTCTACAGCGCCAAGCAGGTTATCCAAATGGTCACAGCCGATCCGGAATCGGAAGTATCCGTACCGCATGACAAGCTCTGGGAGATGTTGTCCAGTGCCTGCGAAAAGGTCTACGAACAGGACGATTTGGGTCCATCGCAAAACATCCGAACCGTACTGAGCAAGACCAGTACCGACATGAGTCAGCTGGCCCAGTATCTGTTGGACCATGAGTACGAAATCATGGCCGGAACGAACGCAAAACCCGAGGAGAAACCCACGGCACCAATCATTCTACGCGCACAGGCAGTCAAGAAGCAACTGGAGGAAACCAAAACCCTCACGGCAACACTGGAAAACCGGGAGGCCGAAATCCGACAGCTCAAGTTGGCAGCCAAACTCAAACAGAACGAACTGTCCGAAATGCAGATTCGCAAGGATTTGGCCGAAAAGAAGCTGTCGGTACTGCAGCAGGATCACGAAACCAACACTGCCCGGCTGCAGAAACAGTACGACGAAGTTTGCCAGCGGCTCAAACAGTATGGTCTATATAAGATTTTAGGTGGAATGGTTCTAACGTCCATTTTAAATTACAGGAAGGAGAAAGAATTCGAAGAAACCATGGACCACCTGCAGAGCGATATCGACTCGCTGGAAAGTGAGAAGAGCAGTCTGCGCGACAAACTCAAAACCTACAGCTCCAAGAAGGGAGATCTTAAAACTACCACTGCACTCGGTATGTATGATCGGTTTGAATATTTTTAAACCATCTAAACTGTCCATCGTACTCTTTCAGACATCTCCGCCAGTTCACCGTACATCGCCCAGGAGCTGTCACTTCTCAAGAAGGCATTCAAGGACGAGCGCACCGAGCGGTTGAAGGTCCAGGCGAGCGAGTACAAGAAGATCCTTTCCCAACTGGAACCGCTGCACGTGCCCCAGCCGAAGGACGAGCGCATCGAAAAGTTGGAGCAGGAAATCACCAAGGTTAAGCACGATTGGATAATGTCGCTCGTTCGGGGAGCGGAAATGCCCGGAACGCATACCTCCCAGGGGAACGTCTCCAAGGCGATCGTCGATCACGAAAACGAGCAGAAGCGTAACCAGCAGCAGATCAAATCGAAGGCCGAACACCTGGCGTGTGAGATTATGAACGAATATCTCAGCCGGAAACCGCACCGTGCTGCTAGGGGTGACTTTGCAATGTTTCCCTCGACCGAGCTGGCGTCGGCTTTCAAGATGAACATTAAGGTGTAAGGTTGATGATTCAACGGACGTAGTAAAAGGTAAGACGTAAGGAGGTCTATCTGTAAGAATTCAATACTATAATGAGCAATTGCTTCACGATGGCAGGCTGTACTAAATCGTATATTTTAGACTTTAATGAACCCCAATGAAGCGCTTGCAGCTTGAAAGACGTCAGCATTTGTTTGCTGCAGTCCGGATAAAGTAAAAGCTGTTCTTAATTCCATGTTCGGGACCTATTTAGTGAATGCTGTTTTATTTCTTTGTGTTATTTATTGCTTCTACTGATATTGGCGTCACTTTAAGTATTAAAGTATGTACTCAACAATTATAAATATGAAACGAACTATCTATTTTAATGCAGTAGAGAAATGTCCATGGCTTGTCAAACCGGATCGTCCCATTTGAACGAATGGGTACTGTATTACTATACTAGCGTATACAGAAATGTAGCTCTCAGAGCGTTGCCTTAAGCCTGGTTTAAGTAATTCAATCCAGCGTTCAACTCACAATAAATGTGAATTGAACGACCAGAAAGTTGGTCAACGTTCAACTTTTTATGCGAACCAACTGACCACCATATCAGGGCGGGAATCAAAAGAAATTACCCAAAAGTGTCAAAATTTACAGATGAGAGAAGAGTGTGGCAAATCTGATCTGTGGACTGATTTGGTGATGAACTAGCCCAGAAGTGGCTAAAACTCACCCTGATAAAGCTATTAAAAATCAATAGTTCTCACCTGGCTACACACCAAATTTAAATCGCTGAAAACCTTTAATAATTTTGTGACTGAGTAATCTCCGTTGAATATGGAATAGACTATTCTGAGGTCTTCAGAACTAATTGAAAGTTCCCAAAATATTCATGAAGTTAAATTGCTTTGAAGTTCTTTTGTAATTTGAGAAACTAGCCTGATGCTCGCAATATGCTCATCATTTTGTTTTAACTTCTCTAAACTGTTTTCGGACTTCCTAAAGTTTCCACAATTACCCTAGATCTTTCGATCTGTTCGGAGGTGCTAGCTCCCAGATTTATCTGGCGAACACTTCCGGATACCCACAGCAGCGAACAATTTTCAATCACCGTCTCTTCACCTGAATTCTCACAGATCGCCACGAAGCGAAGAAGATGGCGCTACGACCAAGTAGATTGGACATTGTTCGAACGGCTGACTTCCAGCAACATCAAACCGGATGACGAGATTGACGTTGATGAGTTCGTCGATCGGATATTATCAGCAGCAACCGCTAGCATTCCTCGAACATCAGGACGAGTTGGTTCCAAATCGGTACCGTGGTGGTGCCCGGAAGTGAAAACGACGATTAAGCGGCGTCGAAAACTTCCGAGAGCACTGAAGCGAAGCAGGATCGGACACAGCGGATGTTTTGAAGCAGTTCCAGAAAGCGAAGGCAGTGAAGGAAGCTGAGGAACATTCGTGGGAGGACTTTGTCGGTAAAAGATCACCTAGCAGCACAACAGCAGCAATGTGGCGGTTATCAAGTGACCCGATGGCTACACGGAGAAGGCGGAAGAAATAGCAGAAGAACTGGTCGAGCACTACTGTGAGAGATCGGCAACCTCAAGCTATCCCCAACTGTTTCAAACAGCAAAGGAAAGGGCGGAACGGGATCGCGTGGATTTTATTCCGGACAACGACGAGATATATAACGCGGACTTCACCCTGGATGAGCTTCTGTGGGCACTCGACAAAGGACGTAGTGTCTCTACAGGTCGTGACTCGGTAGGGTATCCGATGATTCGACGTCTGCCTGTATCCGTCAAAATCGCGCTGTTGCAGCTTCTAAACAGAATCTGGCGTAGTGGCGGACCGGAATAATAGTGCCGATTCCGAAGCCAAACTGTTTTGAATCTGGACCTGCTGCTTTCCGGCCTATCACTTTGACCAACTGTATCGCAAAGGTGTTCGAACGTATCGTGAACCGCAGATTGACGACTGAGTTGGAGTCGAATGGACGACTGGACAAGAGGCAGCACGCCTTTAGAGCTGGGAGAGGGGTCGATACATACTTGGCGGAGTTGGATAAGTCATTGCCAAATCGGGACGAACACTGCTTGATTGCATCGCTTGATCTGTCGAAAGCGTACGTCACCACTTGGCGGTACGGTATCTTGCGCACTCTGCGTAAGTGGCAGATGGGTGGGCGCAAGTTCGACGTACTGAACAGTTTCCTCACCGACAGATCTTTCCGAGTGAACGTGGAAGAACATTTATCTGGTGAAATGCCATTGGAGAACGGAGTCCCCCAAGGGTCAGTGTTGTCTGTCACGTTATTCCTTATAGCGATGCAGCCAATTTTCAGAGTGGTGCCGCATACTGTTGCCGTGCTTCTCTATGCGGACGATATTTTGCTAGTGGTACGGAGGAGTAAGGAGCGTCCCTCTGTATAGAGATCTACAGGCTGCAGTGAAAGCTGTCGACAAATGGGCGAAAAGCGTTGGCTTCACAATTTCCGCGACAAAATCAAGAATTTTCTACGGTAGTCCCAACGCCCGTCGAGAACCCAGCAACGATATATTCATCGACCGTGCAGCTGTACCGAGGACGAATCAACTGAAAGTTGTTGCCGTCAACCTTGACCGGTCGCTGTTCTTCATACAGCATTGCAAGATAGTCAAAACCACGTGCGACTCTAGACTGCGGATTTGAAGATGATCGGGGATCGGGGCTAAACTCCCGCGAGGGCAACGCGATTCTCTGTTGTGTATCGGATCAGCAATCGACACGTCGCGACTTATCTACGGTATCGGGCTCGTCAGTAGAGCGAAGGATTCGGTGGTGCAGACTCTTGCACCCATCTACAACCGGATGGTCCGCTTCGCCTCAGGGGCGTACGTCACCAGTCCGATTCCAGCGATTATGGCTGAAGCAGGCACTTTGCCGTTCGATTTAATGGTTATGCAAGCCATAATTCGTGCTGCAATTCGTTTGATGGAGAAGGATTCCAGAAATATCGATTTTCCAGTTGTGGAACGAGCGTCCGATCGCCTGGCGACGATTGATGTAGAGCTTCCAAACATCGCTGTACGGACACGTCTCGCCAACCGAGAGTGGTATGAACCCAAGCCGCATATTGTTTGGGATGTGAAACGGCAGGTGAAAGCTGGGGATCCCCCGAATACAGTGCGTCCCATCGTGCAGGAGTTGCTGGCTAACCGGTTTAACCGTGCTTTGGCTATTTATACGGATGGTTCTAAATGCGAGACCATAGTTGGAGCAGGTGTATTTAGTAGCGTGTTTTCGGCGGAGGCCTTTGCAATCAAGACGGTCGTCATCACTGCAAGAGCATCAACCGAATGTGTTGTCATTCTGTCTGATTCGGCCAGCTGTCTTTCGACCATAGAGAGTGGAAGATCACAACATCCGTGGATCCAGGAAATCGAGCGCTTATTACGTGAACGGCCGATCCACCTTTGTTGGATCCCTGGTCATGCCGGAATTCGCGGTAACGAAGAAGCAGACCGTCTAGTCAGTGAAGCACGAAACAATCCACCAATCAACGTCGCCGTACCAAGGATTGATTCCATCACGAACATGAACCAAGTCTTTCGTCAGCTATGGGAAGCACGTTGGGCACAATTGACAGATGTGAAGCTGAAGGAGGTCAAAAGGGAAACGAAGAAGTGGATCGATCAGTACAGCTCTGCCGATCAACGCGTACTCACTCGTCTGCGCATTGGTCATACTAGGGTTACGCATAAATTTCTTCTGAAGATAACAGCTCCGCCAGCATGTGAATGCTGTGGGACCGTTGTTGACGTTCGTCACATTATTCTGCACTGCAGGAAATTTGAAGCGGCCAGGACGAAATACGGAATCGATTCCACAAGCCTTTATACGGCGTTACGCAACGACGATGATTCTGAGAAGCGGTTGCTGAAGTTTCTGCATGAAACCAAACTTTATCGAAAGCTTTGAAGGGTGAAGATAGAATGGAAAGGAAAGTGCAGTATGTAGGTTAAAAAAAAAAACTGTCAAACAGTGAAGTTATTATTTTGCTTTAAATCTTGATTGCAAAATATCGTTGTGGCCAGAAAACGAAGGTCTATCAGATGGTGTATAAAAACCGATATTTTTTTAAAAATTAAAGAACTCAATTACAATTAATTTATAATACAATGAATTCTGCAATTTTTCTGATTGAACAATCAGTCCCATCGCGATTTTCGCGACATCATTTAATGTTTTCGCGATTTTTGCGAGTTCAAAACTCAAATCCGCTACAAATTTGCGAAATCCGCGCCTGTTGTAACAGCCATGTAAATGAAGCCCGATGGGACAAGTCACGGAATGACTCAAGGGTGTTAAGGACAAGACCCAGATTTTTTGAAAAGTGCTGAAGAAATTCTACGGATTCTCAAAATTTTGGCTCAACCCCCACTCATCACTTTTTGAAAAACGGTGGTCATTTACCTGTGTACGATTTGCATCGTTACAAACTTATCACCTCATAGATTCTCTATGGGGACGCGAAGAACTCCTGATTGACCTCGATTCGTACTCAAGAATTCCATCGATGAACCCGTCAGTGGTATTACAAGTAATGGACTAATTCGAAGAAAAACATATAATATTAACATCAACACCGTTTGCTTTTCATTTAGTTATAAAACTTTATTTGAATTCCTTCTCATGCAGCATTCTATTATTGATCTGTTTCTGCCTTTTTCTCCTGCATCATCATCATCCTCATATCTGTATCATTCTCGCTTTGAATGTTATGTTTCCTAGTAGAATTTGTTGCTTGTTTTTTTATTTATTTGTAACTTTGTTGTCTTGAAATATGAATCACGCACACTTACATACAATCAGTCGATGGTTGAGAAAAGAAAAGAATTGAAAGCGGGAATCGGTTAACTGGGGATGAACGGGGTTCTTTAAGTTCAAGAATCCTCTCGTCGCCTCGCCGCTGTCCGGCGCCCAGATTGCAAGGAAGCAACAACCACTTTGCAACCCGGGGACGATCGCAACGCAGCGACGCGCAGACGGATGGGGGAGGGAATGGAAACAAAGTCTCTTTTCTTTCTCAGGCTATCCTATCAGAGCAACATACGCGGTCAATGAAAAATAGTTTAAACAATAAATAAGACGCATCGGATGCCTCTCGCCTCGTAAGTGTATTCTCTCAGTTTCTCGCTAAATTAAACTTTGTGGGTTTTTCTTGATTAATTTTCTTCTGTCTCATCTGAAAAATGAGATGAGAACGCCTAACGCGCCTAGTACACAAACACTCGATCTCGTATTCTCGCTCGCACACTCTCTACTGTGGAACTCTTCTCCAGTTCTCTACTTGATCTAAACGGCTAGCAAATGAACGTAGTCGTAGTCCCTATTGGGCACTGGTTCTAAAACCAGGCTGATCGAGTGGAAGGGCTCTAACTATAGACCGACAAGGGAACGGAAAATGGGAATTACGCTACACTAATAAACAAGAAGTTTACAGTTCGTCCTTGAGATCTTCGTCGTCACCGCCGGCTGGTGGAGGAGATCCACCGGTGCTGGCGTACAGCTTGGCAATGATCGGTTGCACGACGTCTTCCAGTTCCTTCTTCTGCTTCTTGTAGTCTTCGGAGTCGGCATCCTGGTTTTCGTCGAGCCATTTGATCTTCTCATCGATAGCCTCCTCCATCTTGACCTTATCGTCCTCGGCAACCTTGGCACCCAGCTTGTCCTTGTCTCCGAGCTGGTTCTTGAGACTGTACGCGTAGCTTTCCAGCTCGTTGCGAGACTCGACACGTTCCTTCAGTTTCTTGTCATCGTCGGCGAATCGTTCGGCATCCTTGATCATACGTTCGATGTCCTCTGGGGTGAGACGGTTCTGGTCGTTGGTGATGACAATCTTTTCGCGGTTACCAGTTCCCTTATCTTCGGCGGACACCTGCAGGATACCGTTGGCATCGATTTCGAACGATACTTCAATCTGTGGGATGCCTCGTGGTGCTGGTGGAATGCCGGTCAGATCGAACTTTCCGAGCAGATGGTTATCCTTGGTCATTGGACGTTCACCTTCGTAGACTTGGATGGTGACGGTGTGCTGGTTGTCCGAAGCGGTAGAGAAGATCTGCGATTTCTTGGTCGGGATAACGGTGTTACGTGGGATCAGCTTGGTCATGACTCCTCCGACGGTTTCAATGCCCATGGTCAGTGGGTTGACATCGAGCAGAACGATGGCTTCGGTATCTTGTTCTCCGGAGAGGACTCCAGCCTGTACGGCGGCACCATAAGCGACGGCTTCATCGGGGTTAATACCACGGGATGGTTCCTTTCCGTTGAAGAATTCCTTAACCAACTGCTGGACCTTGGGGATACGAGTAGATCCTCCGACCAAGACAATTTCATCAACATCCTTCTTGTTCATGTCAGCATCTTCCAAAACCTTCTGGACTGGCTTCATGGTGGAACGGAACAGATCCATGTTCAATTCTTCGAACTTGGCACGGGTCAGAGTCTCGCTGAAGTCATCACCCTCGAAGAACGATTCGATTTCAATGCGAACCTGGTGGCTGGAAGACAGGGCACGCTTTGCCTTTTCGACTTCACGACGCAGCTTCTGGACGGCACGAACGTCCTTGCGGATATCCTTACCCTTCTTCTTCTTGTACAGCTTGATGAAGTGATCCATGACGCGCTGATCGAAATCTTCGCCTCCCAAATGGGTATCTCCGTTGGTGGCAACGACTTCAAACACTCCGTTATCGATGGTCAGCAGGGATACATCGAAGGTACCGCCACCCAAATCGAACACCAGCACGTTCTTCTCACCGTCCTTCTTGTCCAAACCGTAGGCGATGGCAGCGGCAGTTGGCTCGTTGATGATACGCATCACCTGCAGACCGGCGATGACTCCGGCATCCTTGGTGGCCTGTCGCTGGGCATCGTTGAAGTAAGCGGGAACGGTGACGACAGCATGGGTAACCTTCTTGCCCAGGTAGGCCTCGGCGGTTTCCTTCATCTTACCGAGCACCATGGCGGAGATTTCCTCCGGAGCGAACACCTTGTCACCCTGGCTGGTCGAAACCTTGATGTGGGGCTTCGAGTTCTTCTCAATCACCTTGAACGGAAGCAACTTGGCATCATGCTGGACGGTATGGTCGGTGAACTCACGACCGATCAGACGCTTGGCATCGAATACGGTGTTCTCCGGGTTGGTGGTCAGCTGATTCTTGGCGGCATCGCCGATCAACCGTTCGCCGTCGGCGGTGAATGCCACGTAGGAAGGCGTAATTCGGTTACCCTGGTCGTTGGCGATAATTTCCACACGGCCGTTCTTGTAGACACCCACACACGAGTAGGTCGTTCCCAGATCGATACCGATGACGGTTCCGTAGTCTTGTTCCTTCTTCTCCTCAGCGGCGTACGACAGTACGGCCAGGGCGGCCACCAGGGCCAACGGTACTAGCAGCTTCATTGTGGCGACACTGCAATAGGGACGAAAACAGAGAGAGAGAGAATCGGAATAAGTCATTGGATCGCTTGGTGCGCAAAGTATAATGGATGATGGGCAGATAAGTTATATAAGGTGACACACACGGTTCATTTCGAATCTTCGAAACGTGTAATAAGATACCGGTAAAAACTACGTGATAAGTTATGTGTGGCAAATGTTTTGTCCCAAAAAAATAGCGCTGCCATCGCGACGTGTCAATAATGTAAACGACGGTTGCTCGTGACTGTTTACAATTGTAAGGCAAAGATGGTAGCACTATTTTTTAAATGGATTTCTTATTATCTTGTTGTACTTGTGTAGCTTCAGACTTAACATGTTCTTCGTTATGATATGATTATGACATTCTCTATACAGGTGTATTGTTTGTTTAGCTGCATGTAGTGTTTCTTCAATAAGCTAGTATGTGACACGATTATCTAAAATGTGTTTAGTTTGAATCATCTATTCGAAATGCAGCACACCATGAAACTTACATCGAGTTTCCTTATCCTTAACATCCAGGTTCCTCTCGCATTCACAAATAACACTTAACAGCAACAAAACTCCCTATAAATATGAAACGCGCTATATCACTACAGCAACACCGCCTACAACTCATCGTTGAATGGATTTTCATCTTCGGCGTCGTTTTCGGCATCAGGTGCAGCAGAACCATCGCTGCCTGCGTACAGCTTAGCGATGATCGGTTGAACGACATCTTCCAGTTCCTGTTTCTGTTTCTTGAGCTCCTCCGTATCGGCATTCTGATTTGCTTCCAGCCACTTGATCTTCTCGTCCAGAGCTTCCTCCATCTTGGCCTTCTCGTCGTCGGAGATCTTCGATCCCAGTTTGTCCTTGTCATTGATTTGACTCTTTAAACTGTACGCGTAGCTTTCCAGTTCATGAACTGCATCGACCCGTTCCTTCTGTTTCTTGTCGTCTTCGGCAAACCGCTCGGCATCGTGAATCATGCGATCGATATCGTCCGGAGTCAGCCGGTTCTGATCGTTGGTAATGACGATCTTTTCACGATTGCCTGTGCCCTTGTCTTCGGCAGACACTTGCAGAATTCCATTCGCATCGATTTCGAAGGAAACCTCAATCTGGGGCATTCCACGCGGCGCCGGAGGGATCCCGCTCAGATCGAACTTTCCGAGCAGGTGATTATCCTTGGTCATCGGACGCTCGCCTTCGAAGACTTGGATGGTGACGGTGTGCTGGTTATCGGAAGCGGTGGAAAAAATTTGCGATTTCTTCGTTGGAATAACACTATTTCGTGGGATAAGCTTCGTCATGACTCCTCCCACGGTTTCAATACCTAGAGTCAGTGGATTGACATCCAGCAGCAGAAGACCATCGGTAGCGGGGGCACCTGAGAGCACTCCAGCTTGAACAGCTGCCCCATAAGCAACGGCTTCGTCAGGATTGATGCCACGGGATGGTTCCTTTCCGTTGAAGAACTCCTTGACCAGCTGCTGAACCTTCGGGATACGAGTGGATCCTCCGACTAGGACGATTTCATCAACATCCTTCTTGTTCATATCGGCATCCTCCAGAACCTTCTGCACCGGTTTCATAGTAGCTCTGAACAGATCCATGTTCAACTCCTCGAATTTAGCCCGAGTCAAAGTTTCGCTGAAGTCCTCTCCTTGGAAGAACGACTCAATCTCAATTCGTACCTGGTGGTTCGAAGACAATGCCCGTTTAGCCTTCTCCACCTCTCTACGCAGCTTCTGAACGGCCCGAACGTCCTGCCGAATATCCTTTCCTTGCTTCTTCATGTAGACCTTAATGAAGTGATCCATCACGCGCTGGTCAAAGTCTTCGCCTCCCAAATGGGTATCTCCGTTGGTGGCAACGACCTCGAAGACCCCATTGTCAATGGTCAGTAGAGATACATCGAACGTACCACCACCCAGGTCGAACACCAAGATATTCTTCTCGCCTTCCTTTTTGTCCAAGCCGTAGGCAATTGCAGCAGCAGTCGGTTCATTGATGATACGCATCACGTTCAAACCAGCAATGGTGCCCGCGTCCTTCGTAGCCTGACGCTGAGCATCGTTGAAGTACGCCGGAACGGTCACTACCGCATGGGTCACCTTTGTGCCAAGGTATTCTTCCGCCGTTTCCTTCATCTTACCCAGAACCATGGCGGAAATTTCCTCCGGAGTAAACGTCTTCTCTCCCTGACTCGTAGAGACCTTGATGTTCGGCTTGGAGTTCTTGCTTATCACCTTGAACGGAAATAGCTTTACATCCTGCTGCACAGTTTGTTCATTAAATTCCCGACCGATCAAGCGCTTGGCGTCGAAAATCGTATTTTCCGGATTGGTAGTCAACTGATTCTTGGCAGCATCGCCGATCAACCGTTCGCCATCCGACGTGAAAGCCACATAGGAAGGCGTTATTCGATTGCCCTGGTCGTTAGCGATGATCTCCACGCGGCCATTCTTGTAGACGCCCACGCATGAGTAGGTCGTTCCCAAATCGATACCGATAACGGTACCGTAATCTTGTTCCTTCTTGTCCTGCGCAGCAGCACACGCAGCCAGTACGGCAAGCGTGCCCAGTAACGTAGAAAATCTCATTCCGAAGTGTCTACATCCAGCAACGGGGCGCGCACAAAGAAAAGAAAACAGGAAATAGTTCTTTACATCTTCATCGCTCTGAACGGCCAGCAGTAGACACTCACGGTTAGCGGGTGAGTGACCACGAACACTCACGCACAACACAGCATCGCAGGTCAGCCAATTAATGATGAGGTGGGCCACTCATCAAATGGGATGAGTTTTGTTTTGTTTTAGATTTTCGAAGCAGGAATCATGCCATTTTGTTGGTTATTTGTGGTTATTTTTCATGGATAATTGTGCAGCTTGTTTTTAGTAATTAAGCGTATTTTTTAATTAAACATTTATTTTATATTAGTGAGAACAATTCGACACCTGTTGCATACTGGTCGATTTTTTTTAATAACATCCTACCTACATCAATTATTACATTAAATTATGTAAACGATTGATATGGATTTTGCAGCAGCACATAAGATTTGACAGTGAATTTGCAGATTTATTAGAATGCCCGTGAACTTGCCAAAGCTTTCCCAGTAATATAAGATTCAATTATCATTCGAGCAGTTTACAGTGACGTTTACTACCACTCGAACTTTGCCGTGGAACAATATTTTGATATTTATTTTCTTCTAGAATTTCGTTAATTATAATGAGCTTTAATAATCTGGAGTTTATTGTTTCACTTTCTTGAAATCACTGGTAGAAGAGCGTCCCAAAACTGCTCGACAATATGATTAATTATAATTGCATTTTCATGGCGACCAGCAAATCGTGATAAGCAATTTCCCGATTTATTGGAAATGTTCCCGCTTAAGCATACAACCAAATGCGGTTGAGCCGAAGAGATAACTAGGTTAAATGAGTAATTACTAAGACAGTATACATTTTCCTAGATCTTGAATTTGGTTCTGCGTACGAAGTCTTCAGAATTTACTCAATACTTAACAGGATTTTATTTAGCTGTTGTCAAGCATTTCCATTGAAATAATTTCCCTCCACAGAGTCTTCTAAAATAAATTTGAGATTCCCCCTGAGAGTACCTTGAAAATGTATTTTTAACAGTCCAGAAATTCACTGCATAACACTCCAAAAAATATTGAAATTCGTCCTTAGGTTCTAATCGGAATTTAAACTTTTTCTAAGAATTAACTGAAGCATCCTTCCATATTTTTTTTTAATTCGTTTAAATTCTCCTTAGAATTCCCTTGCAATTTACTTCAGAACTGTCTTGAAATTATCTTGGCTCAGAATTAACTTGGAGTTATCTTCTAAATTCATCCAAGAATTCACTTGCAAATACTCCTTAAAGCTATCTAGAAATTCTTTTCGACATGCCCTTGAAATTATCCTCGGTTTTTCTTGGTATTTTCACGGATCCTAGAATCCTCTACACAATCGCCGTGGAAATGTTCACAGAGCTACTTAAAAAATCAGTCAAAAATATGATCTGAACACAAGCTATTTCCCCCATACATAAGCAGAATATAAAGAAATGACAGTCTACCTTATCTAAAAAGCATGCTCCATTGAGTTTAAGACCCTCGTAAAATGGAACATTCCCGAATGTTAATACGAAGGTCGAGTTGCACTTAGGAACAATCTTCCTCCAATAAGCTCAACAAAATGTCGAAATTCCGTAGGAAAAAAAACTAATATTTTCCAACTATCAGAAGAACTCAAGTCCCTTACTGCCAAGCGATTACGTGGGATAACAGCCGCAAGCGAAGCATACTATAGAAGCACTACAGGCATGAAGCGAAGCGTGAATAAAAATGGGCCACGTCAGACACTTTTCTCGGAGTATGCACAGCCACCATGCTGCGCCGCCCTCGTCCGGCATCTTTCGTATACTGCCTATCGAATTCAATCAAATCCAACAAGAGCAACTATGTGGACTTGAACTTTCTAAAATCACTACTATTAACATGCCAATTATTGGGCGAATATTTCTGTGTCACCACCGGGAAGAACAGTTAGGTTCCCTGACCCCAATTCAGCAGACACCCCGACGAAAGGTGTGACCCAAATATGGCAATGCCATGAACACTATCGAATCACTTTTTACTGCTTTTAAAATTCACATCAAAACCACCCGGTATCGCATTTATCGACTCACATTTGTGATATAAAGCGGAAAATATAGCAAATCACTCAAGTAAGATTATTTCTATCACAAAAGGAAATTTAAGACAAAAAGATAGGAATATACTGTTACCTCGTTGAGCTCTCGATTGAAACAGACAGCCAGATACAAGCCACGGCTCCTGAGTATTTCAATTTCAATAGAGACCGGGAGAAAAGAACACGTCAACCTTTGCTGCTCGCTCCGTTGTACGCTACGTAACTACGTAAGCACGGCGGCTGTAGTCGTGCAGGCTCGAAGCGATGCAATTGCTTTACAATCATCACTGAATAGTAACTATGTGCGTATAAGTTCCGTTGTATCTCTAGGTTGAGCAGTACCGGGACTAATACAGCTCTGTGGTCAGTGTTGGTCATGTCATGTGTACGTTTGTAATTTCAAAAGAAGGTGCACATAATGGAATGACTGAATAGCTGGGAATTTTAAACAAGCATGTTGAATTTATTCAATATTGTGAATAGTATTCGATATTAGAACTCACGAATCATCAATACCTTTCGACGTTTATCCCAATGTCGAAAGTTTAATCAAGTATCTTATGTATGTGCACTACGTTGACACATATAAACAGTTAGAACAATCATTATAACTTCTGTAAAATTAAGCTTTCAATGAGCATTGAATGCATCAGTTTGGTAAACTTTTGAGCATCTAACAAGCCCTGTCAGGAATCAGGGGCAGCGTGTTTAAATTCGTTCCAGAAATTTCGCTTAGGGACATCAGCGTGTCGTTTTTGATCCCGTAACTTTCAATTTATTTGACCACGTAAACAGTCAGCTTTTCACAGTGTGCATGTGGGGCACCAATTCCACACTTATTCCGAGTCCCGTTGTAGTTGTATGCTTGGTGATTACTCACTCTGACATCACTCACACTTGCGGAAATTTATTCCTCTCTCTCTCTCTCTCTTTGAGAGAAACCTAGCAAACACGTAGTTTTCCTGAAGCCTTCCTCAGGAAAATCCTTCTAGAAGCAATTTTCTCATGGAAATTCCCCCATTTTTGCCTTATCCAGCATTGTCCTTACGTAATTCATCAGTGATTAGTAGAAAGCAATTGGAGACAGAACAATCCACAATTTAAAAGCAGACGAATTTAGACATCTGCAACGCACCACACTGGCACACAGGAAAAATCGATAATTTATTATCAAACACTTACATTTCTTGCGCTGATTTATCACAAATGCGGGTTTCACTATTTCAAAACTTATTCCTAGAAATGCACACGGTCTCTGGTGGTTGAATATTATCCAATAGTTTCAACTTTCACTTCGAATCACTGCTTTTGAATAATCACAAATTTTACCGTTCTTTTCTTGTCTGTCGCTCAAATGATACTATGCCGAATCGGTGCTCAGACGGGGCAATAAATCCCTAGCTCGTGAACCCGGGCTTCAACTTCAGCCGGCATTCGTGGCCCAATCGGAGTGCACCACGACCGGTGGACTGAAAATCGAGAGTATACTACTCTTCTACGTGTACTTTCTCTATCTCCCATGCTCATTTTTCCGTGAGAATGAGAGATTGTTATTGGTTGGCACTGGAGGTGGTGGGTGGTGGCGAGGGGGTTAAAGACCTGATGGCTGGTGACAGCGACAGCAACGTAAACAACAGCATACATTTCAATGGCGCATGCTGCTAGCTGATGAATGGTGCAATGTTTTGAGCCATTGCGTGAAATGATCGCGTTCGAATGCATTGGACCACGTAAGGTTTGGCAAAAATCCAATCGAGGGCTATCAGAGGATGATTCCGGAAAATTCGGGATCTTCCATACATGTGAAACGATAAGAAGCAAATAATGTGCTTGGTAACGGGAATATGAGAATAATCGAGAGCCGAGTGCCATTCTCCCGGTATAAAAAAAATATTCTCATTGATTCGGACCAAGTTCATTCTCTGTAGAGAGAAAGGGTTGAATTTTACAGTAGATCTTGTTTAATCTTATTAATGACAGGAACGCATCCACGTTCAGATATATGGGTAAGACAAATTCTTGCAGTCTACTATTAGCGTTAGCGTTAGCGTTGTTATGATATACTTCGTAGATTGGATACTAGCGACACTCACGTCTCTTCTGAAATTCTCAGTTAGACTACTTTCAGGAATAATGCTGGGGAGTAAACATTGGTTCCAATCTAAACAACAGTAACAGAAGCATGACTGTCGCTATTCCCGGCCACGCCCATCTTTACCATAACTAGGGATAGGGAAGGAAATGTTGATGTAGTACTTACTTAACGAGAGGCCACCGACTTAGCGACACCCTCATAAGTGCTACGGAGTTGGAGGGTTGGGTAGGGTATTCGGTTAGGATTCACCTCAAGTTGGCGATGCAACCAAAAGTATGTATTGTTTATTTGTTGTTTATTTAATCTCTCGATAGCCGGCTATCGAAAGAACATATTCATTTTGTTTAGTGATCATGAATTTTAAGAGTCATGACGGAGAGCTTGGGATTAAACCCATGATTTTCTGCTCAGTAAGCAAAAACGATCCCTCCAGGGTCATCGAGCATCTCAGAACCATAACGCTTCGCGACAATACAGGACTACGTTTTCGCTTGATATGCAAATAGTTTCCGAGGTTAATGTTCAATATCAAATATACAAATGATGGTGGCGATTTATTGTGCTGTGGAAGAGCTTGGGGTTAAATCCATGATTTTCTGCTCAGTAAGCAAAATCGATCCCTCGAGGGTCATCGAGCATCTTATAATCCACAGCGCTTTGAATAACTATTATTTACGATAATTACATGAAATAAATAAAATATAAACTACAAACAAAACGTGACTGCTAAAATCTCAAAAAGATATTCTCACAAATATATTTCACGCCACCAGGAATCTCAAAACCATTAGACGTTATAATGATACTCTGCACATATTAGACACAAGAAGAGGCCAAAAAGCAAGCGTCCGACACACAAAACCCGTCAAATCCACTTGCAGTCACAATCAACGATTCTACGAATCGCGAGCGCTCACAAATCATAAAACCGCTGACTGCGACACTCTGAAAGCGAAATTGACAGGCTCTATGCGTCAAACACCCGCCCTCCAATCTCCACCCGCATCCAACAGCACAAATCTCCATTACAACATCTAACGAATTCAAAACTCCGAAAATCACTCATCTATAGCAAGTGAGTGGAAGCAACCCTGCATGCAACCATTCTTAATGATACACTTGTTCTGTAAATTCTTGCAGTCTACTATTTTCTAACCAGAAATAAAGTTTTAGCTTATATCTGTCTGAAATTTATGATGCCAGATCAGAATACAACTATCTTTGATTAAGAAGTTCAGAATTCCATATTATTAAACTTGTTTGCTGAAAAATATCTTAAAGCTGAGAATACAAAATAATAATACTACAATTTTATGTGCTATGGTTGCATTATTTCTTAAATAGTTCGTGTATGGTACTCGTTAACTGAAAGGAATAATTTTAGAACATTCACACACAGTCAAGTATCTGGGAGTTACTTTTGACAGCAAACTAAATTGGAATTCGCATCTAGAGCAAGTCATTAGTGAGGCAACAAATGCTCTTTGGATAAGTGAAAAAACTTTTGGTAGGAAATGGGGACTAAAACCACATAACATATGTGGAACTCGATCATCAAAAATCGACCCCATTTTAGTGATTTGAAGTGGTATAGAAAGACATCGATCTGTCAAATTTATTATACCAGCCGTAAAATGAGAAAGGGAATCAAGGGGATAGTCAATTCTATTAAAGTTATAATAACTAGCACTCCTGAACTCATGTCGTTGTTCATTGTTAACTATGTACGTCCTTTATTTATAACTGTACAGCTAGATCTAACAAATTCATCACCTTCCTTCACACACAGCAAATCGTAAAGGGTGATACGGTCAAAATTTGGTCAATATCAACTTGACGTATTTCTTTCAATTTTGCATTTAAAAAACCTGAACACCCCTCATTTTGAAGGTGTGTGTGTGTAGAATGTTGCTCCTATTTTGATTTTGGAATTCACTCTTCAGTTGTCAAAATGCCGTCCAAGCAAGAAGAGCAGCGTATCAAAATTTTGCTCGCGCATCGCGAAAATCCGAGCTACTCGCACGCAAAGTTGGCAAAATCGCTAAAAGTTGCCAAATCAACCGTTACAAATGTAATTAAAGTGTTTGGGGAACGTTTGTCGACAGCCAGGAAGTCTGGATCGGGGGGAAATCGAAAACCGGAAGCCGCTGAGACGACAAAGAGAGTTGCCGGTAGTTTCAAGCGAAACCCTAACCTCTCTCTCCGAGATGCCGCAAATAAGCTGGATGTATCGTCTACAACCGTGCATCGAGCCAAAAAACGAGCCGGACTATCGACTAACAAGAAGGTAGTGACTCCAAATCGCGATGATAAACAAAATACGACGGCCAAAGCGCGATCCCGGAGGCTGTACACGACGATGCTGACGAAGTTTGACTGCGTGGTAATGGACGACGAAACCTACGTCAAAGCCGACTACAAGCAGCTTCCGGGACAGGAGTTTTATACGGCAAAAGGAAGGGGAAAGGTAGCAGATGTTTTCAAGCACATGAAACTGTCAAAGTTCGCAAAGAAATATCTGGTTTGGCAAGCCATCTGTACCTGTGGCTTGAAAAGCAGCATTTTCATAGCTTCCGGGACTGTCAACCAAGAAATTTACGTGAAAGAGTGTTTGAATAAACGTCTGCTGCCTTTCCTGAAGAAACACGGTTGTTCCGTACTGTTTTGGCCGGATTTGGCATCTTGCCATTACAGTAAAAAGGCCATGGAGTGGTACGCCGCCAACAACGTGCAGGTGGTTCCCAAGGACAAGAACCCTCCCAACACGCCAGAGCTCCGCCCAATTGAGAAATACTGGGCTATTGTCAAGCGGAACCTAAAGAAGACCAAAAAAACTGCTAAGGGCGAGCAGCAGTTCAAGGCAAACTGGCTTTCTGCGGCGAAGAAGGTGGACAAGGTGGCTGTACAAAATCTGATGGCAGGGGTCAAGCGTAAGGCCCGGCAATTCGGATTTGGAAAAGCGGAAGCCTAACTGAATATTTTTCCTGAATTTTATACTAATTGAACTTGAAAAAGAAATTTAATTTGATTTTTTAAATAAACGATTTCACCGATTTACACGCGTTTTCCCTTGACCAAATTTTGACCGTATCACCCTTTATATTAACGTTTGCATTAAAAAAGGTAGACATTTTCACCGATATTTTATGCAATTACCTGCCACCCAACTATTAATCCTGAAACTTCACTGTAATAGCGAATTTGTTTATTATCCAGGTTGGAACCAGTTCCAACCCGTGCGAACCCGAGCTTATTGTCAGTGTGAACCTCAACTCGAGCCAGATTACAAAAACAAACGTTAACACTGACGTTTGAAAGGCAACAAGCAGACCCAATCTTGATACCCGATCCACGTTGGAACTGAATCAAAAACAAATTCGCTATAAGCTATCACTGTTTACAACCAAATTTTGAACGCGATACGTAATGTTTTTCTGTAGTTTTGGCAAAAATGTGAAGAAACTCCTCCCGAATACTTGTTTAATTCTTCTAATTCTAAATTTGTGCAGGTATGTTTTATTTTTTCAATTTTAGTTTTGTAAATTTAGAAGAAGAATGTATGTACCGAGGTATGTACAATTTTTTCGTTAAACTTTTTATAATTGTTTGGAACCAATTGCATCAACCTTTGAATTCATTTGTATTCGTAGGAAGAACAATATGACTGCGCAAATAAGTGGTTTATTGCTAACATTTTTAAATCCAGAGAGAAGCAGCATAGTTTTTCAACAAGTTCAACGGTTTAAGCTTAAAATATGCAGTTTTTTAGATGACCATCGTTTCATTCGCAAGAATTTCGCAAGCAGGACGATAAATCAAATCATGCGCTTCGATACCTGTAATACCCAAGGATTCAACCCTCCATATGTGTCTCAACTGGGTTCTTTAAGGGTATTGAGGTAAATGCATATTCGTAATCTGCATTAAAAATGGAACTTAAACCCAAAATTTCACCAATTTTGGTACACTGGAACTATTTTAAATAAGTGCGATTACATTTGCAAAAATCACCTTATTAGCGCCCCTCGGTGTCACTTTGTATGGGAGCGAGGTGTCAGTGTGTCAGTTTAGTGTCAAACAGTGAAGTTATTATTTTGCTTTAAATCTTGATTTAAAAATCGAGATGAAAGTGTGTGGGTTCGAAAAAAATATCGTACTGCTCAGAAAACAAAGCTCTTTCAGATGATATATTAAAAACGATATATTTTTCAAAATTAAAGAACCCAATTGCAAACTTTTGCTCAAAGCCCAACACAAAGATCTACTCCAATTACTTTG